CAAGCACACGCAAGGGCACAGCATGAGTCAAGAAGTCGATTGAGGCTGAGGAGACCTCGATGTTTGTTAAAGCTGCCCAGCAAGCAGTTTGCAAGCACGCTTGCAGCGCAGCGCAGCGTGGCGCTTATCCCGGCCGACGCGTCGCAAAACCCCGTTGATGTGCGCGCGATGATGCGTTTGACACGCAGCTACAGCAGGCACACTCGTGACTGGCACCGCGGCATGCTTCCACCAGAGGGACGATGCTGGCGGTGCTGCATGCAGCAAATCGCTTGCAATAAGAGTCGATGCAACCTGCTGTAACATGCAGCATGCATCCACACGCCATCTCGTTTACTGCGCTGCTCTGCGCGACAGCCCGCACTATAGGGTCTTTTGCGAGGCACGCACGGCGCCGCGCTAAGAACTTCCAAGCCGCTGCGCCACAGCTCACGCGTGACTGCGCTTCTTTTTCGCTCGTTCCCCTCTCACATCATCAGCAGCACTTGTGTGTTCTGTGTCGATCCATTCGTTATTTCCAGTTCCGTATGGTCGTGATCACTAATATTTCACACTCGCGACGTGGGTGGGACTGTCAAGGTCTTGATGTGGTGATTTGGAGCTGGGTGAGTGCGAGTGCGTCTTGGGAACTGAGCTCAGCAGGTCGATCCGTCGATGCACCCCGGCAGACGCGACTCGCACTCGCACTCGCACTCTTGACTCGCTTTGCCAAGCCCGAGCATCCCGTCCGTTGAGAAATCGCCTTGCCTAGCTTGAATCACGAATTGATGTAATCGGCACACCACGCAGCAACAAGAGGCCGGCGTTCCGAGCGACGTTTATGCGCCCGCAAGCCATGCTCGCTGCTCGGGGGGCCCGGATCGCTGCTCGGTATGCGTGATTGTACGGCCGTGATGGATGCGAACTGCGCTCGATCGGTCCGTTTCAGCTGAAAATTTGGGCAACGCTGTGCCGCGGCAAGTTTGAACGATGAGATGCGAAATCATATTTGCATATTCCCAACTTTGCTGCCGCCAAAGGGATGTATGTGGCTGACGAGGCCCTGGATAGACGCACCATGCAGCTGTTTTGCTCAGACATGCCCGATGCCTCGACGCTGAGTGGCAGCAGCATCAGCAGTCACTCTTCATCACCCGTACATTCACGATTGTCGACGGTCATGTGCCTCACCACGACCACGCAATCCACACGTCGCCCCGGGCCGAATCGGCAGATCTTCTTCTTCGCCAGCTCGCCTCTA